ATTTGTAATATCGAATGTAATGAAAAGAGTCGATGCATTAAAATAACCTTTTTGAATATATTTTTGAAGTCGATCAAGAAGATCAGCACCATCCACAAACATTGTTTGACGTACAAATCGATCGAATAATGGTCGAATTGATTTATCTAAAAATTGTGAAATTTGCTTTGTTGCAGCATGAATTGTATTTAAAATTGGTCGAAGTGGTGTGCCTTTCTAAATCAACAATATAATAATTCATAGATGGAATAAGAATCAGATGTATAATATGTGATTACCTTATGTGGTTTGGGAATAAAATACATATAAGCTAATTCTGTCTTCTTCCGAATAGGCATTAATTTTAATTTTTGCCATTCAGTTATTTTTTTCATTGATTGTAATTGATTAAGTAAACGAGTTACCTAACAGATGATATCATTGAATGGATTCGAAGTTAATTCTTCATAAGCACCTGTTGTTTGTCGATATTCAGCTGCTTTTCGTTCATAATCAATTTGACGACCAATATGAAGTACACCACTTTTATCAGTTTCACATAATATAAATTTATGTCTTTTTAATTTTTTTCGAATTGATTGAACCATTTTTAATTCACGTAGAGCACATATTTGATCGATTAATGGTATGATAGTCATATAACTTTGAGTTAGACAGGATCGAAGTCGATCAGAATAGGATTTGTATAACGGTGATGTTAATGGTATTTTTGGTAGATCTGTGATCTCGGACATACACTTCTTAAGTTTTTCCATTGTATCATCATGTTCTCTATTAATTCGTTTTTGTAGAGTTTCCTCTGGAAAAAATACACTTGGATTTGGTCGTATATAAGTCGGTCCTAGAAGAACATAATACGGGAATACTGATGCTGAGAAACTTAGAAAAATTAATTCTTACCTCTTGAAAGATAAGCAAGTTGACTAGCAGTAAATGGATGATACATGAGATCGACAATGACATTCGGCCTGACACTGACTGTTTTGCTTGTGGATTTTGAACGTCGTTGAACACGTAATATTTGTTTTCGAGAAAGAGATCATTTTTCATAAGTTATCTCTTCTTTTAATCTATTTATTCGATGATTGATATAATTAAGAAAAGACTGATACAGAGTTATTGTTCCATTATTTATTCTGGTAAGACTTGAACTATTGTCTATTTCAAAATAGAAAAAGGGTGGTTGTTTTTTGAATAACTTTTTAATAGAAATAGCTATCGGTCTGCGGTTTTCACCATTTGATAGAGGCGGGCATTCTACATCTTTCTATAGATGATTCAAAATGTCGTCTTATGATCCTGATGAGCGGTCAATGAAATTCAAAGCAGTACCTGAAGTCCTATAAAAATTGTATGACATTTCAATTGTAAGGGGTGCATTAGATGCGCCTGCTCA